AAAAAAAAAAAAAAAAAAAAAAAGCCACTACCTCCGACTCTCCGAGCCTGTTCTTACCGACCCTGGATTTCACTGCGCATAGAGTTTTGCCAAGCCTGGGTCCCATTGTATTTTCTTTTATGGTACTCCTCGCAAAAAAAAAAAGAAAAAAAAAAGGGAATAAAGAATTAAAAAAAAAGAAAAACAGAAAGTCAGGGACGTGAAAGCAGCTGGATACAGAGTCTGGGGTACATGTGAAAGTATGCCTTGCCAACAGGCGTTACATCGCCACCACTGTAATCATGGCAGTTGCAAAGAAAAAGAACAAGGAAGAAAAAGAAAGCAAAAAAAGTATTTGGACGTGAAAGCAGCTGGATACAGTCTGGGGTACAAGTGAGAGTAAACAGCCGTTACATCAAGGGCGATGCTCACATGCGGTCTTTCTGATCTGAATTTGGCCGTAAATGAGGCCAGATGCATCCAGCGAAGTTATAGTGTGTGTGGGCGAAGATGCCTGTAAAATGGATTGAATACATGGATTATGCTTGCACACGGACTACTTTCTCAACTGAATTCGGCTCGAACTGAGGCCAGATACATCCAGCAAAGTTGGTAGTGGGAGTATGGCTGAAGATGCCTGCAAAACGAAATCCACAGGTTGTCCACGTGGGATTGAACAGATGGATACGGGCAATCAATGTGCTTGCATGTGGACTGATTTTCTCAACTGAATTGGCCATAATTGAGGCCAGATACATCCGCCGAAGTTGGAAGATGCTTGCAGAACAGAATCCGGAGGTCCATGTGGATCGAATAGATGGACAAGGGCAATGCTGACGTGGGAACCGACTTCTCAACTGAATCTGGCTGTAACTGAGGCCAGATGCATCCAATCCAACGAAGGTCTGGGCTGAGTATGGCCGAAGATGTCTGCAAAACGATTTTTTTCAACAAAATGCTCTCCGCTTTCCTGGAGCAACGCACACGTGAACTTATTTTTTTTCTCCACTGAATCTGGCGGTAACTGAGGCCAGATGCATCTCAAGGAGTTCTAGGCCGAGTACGGCCGAAGATGCCCGCAAAACGAATTCAACAAAATGGTCTCTGTTTTCTTAAGGCAAATCTCACACATGAACTAACTTTGTCAACTGAATCTGGCCGTAACTGAGGCCAGATGCATTCAGTGAAATTCCAGGCCGAGCATGGTAAGCGATAAAGAGAAGAGTGCAACATTGTGACTGGTATCTTTAGGGCCTCCTGGCCGCCTGCTTTCTGCTGCCTGTATTGTGGCCACATTATAGGCCAGGTGCATGCAGTAACCTTTGCCACGGAGAATTCACACCCGCATGCATATTGTAGGGATGGGGAAGGTCGCGGCGACGTAGATTTGCTTTCTGTTGTCTGTATTGTGGCCACATTGAAGGCCAGGTGCATGCAGGAACCTTTGCCATGGAGAATTCACACCCGCATGCAGTTATATTGTAGGGATGGGGAAGGCTGCGGCGACGTAGATTTGGCTATTATCATATTATTATGTCATCCAGTTTGTTACACGTGTAGTCACGACGGGCCTCGCCCCATTACTCACCACATGCACAAGAGAAAAACTACGGCTCTGTATCTGCCCATGTTCCAGCGGAAGATTCATTCTCATGCACAAGAGACAAAAACTACGGCTCTGTTTCTTCCCATGTTCCAGTTTGCTGGCAGAAGAGTGAGACAGACTCAAAGCTGACGGCTGATCTCCAAAGAGCATGCTCGGAGATGGATTTTTCGACCGGGCTCTGGACGGGATTAGTCTGACGCATCTGGTTGTAATTGCTGACAAATTCATTTTGGAAAGTACCACCACCACCACCGCTGTCAGTATGCCCTTGATGGAGCGGGCGGGACTCCGATGGATTAGCTTCGCCAAATTTGGATGTATTATTAACTTTGCCAAACTCTAAATGGATTTATAACATACTTGCGGCGTATCCCAGGCGCGCCACTTGCGCACATGCGGCGCACTGCGCTTTGCGCACGTGGCGCACGCACTCGGTGCGCCGCATGGGCAAAATTCGGGATCAGCCCAAAAAAAAAAAATGTTGGGGAGGGGGTGAATCGAAGTTCCCACGCCCAGGCAAAATTAGGACATTGCCCGCGCGGCCCCGAAACTTGGATGTATTATCAACTTTGCCAAACTCTAAATGGATTTATAATTTTATATTGACGAATCCGAACTTGCCTTGGGCAGGGTTGGCGGAGGCCCGGTCGAGTCACGTGCCTTGATGCATGGCGAGGCTAGGGTGGGGAAGAGGAGAAAGAACTTGATGAACTTGGTCAATATTCGAGATGGATTAACTTTTCCAAACTCCAATGGATTACGATATCCAAACTTGGATGTATTCATGAAACTGGAATTGATTTATTAACATATCCAAACTTGGATGTACGAACTTACGCCAACTGAGGGGAAAAAGAAGACGAGAAAGAGAGAAAGAAACTTAACTCAGGGGAAAAAGAAGANAGGGGAAAAAGAAGACGAGAAAGAGAGAAAGAAACTTAACTCAGGGGAAAAAGAAGATGAAAATGAAACTGGAATTGATTTATTGACGTATCCAAACTTGTCTTTTCTGTTGATTTTACAGGAATGGGGATACTTATGCAGGGGAGTATTTCTGTGACAAGATGCATGGATATGGATGCTATCATTTTTCTAATGGGCATCGGTACGAGGGGGCATGGCATGAAGGGCGTAAGCAAGGACTGGGTCTTTACACGTTTAGGAACGGGGAGACGAGGGCAGGGAACTGGCACTTGGGAGCCCTCGAGACGAGGAGCACGCAATCAGCTCCTCCCAATTCGCCGACAGCAGTAAACCATAGCCGGGTCTTGCACGCAGTGCAGGTGAGAGACGAGGATGCTGCCTGGAAGATGTATTGCATGCATACTGTCTTCTTCTTCGTCTTCGTCTTCTTCTTCTGCTGCCTCTTTCTACCCATCTCTATGTTGATCGATTGTCTGTAAATGTTTTTGTCTTTGCTTCCGCCTTCCATGTCATTGTCATCGTCATTGGCCCCGTCGTTATCATCGTCATCGTCTTCTTCTTCTTCTTCTTCTTCTTCTTCTTCTTCTTCTTCTTCTTTTCTTCCTCTTCTTCTTCTTGTCATTATCATCATCGCCGTCTTTGTCTTTGTCATCATCATCATCATCACCATCTTCGTCTTCGTCTTTGTCATTATCATCATCATCGCCATCGCCATCGCCGTCTTCGTCTTCGTCTTCATCGCCGGCGCCGGTGCCGTCTAACAGCTATTTTTCCTTAAACCACTAGTACCTCCGAGCCTGTTTTTGCCGACCCTGGATTTCACTGTGCACCGAAATCTGCCAAGCCTGGGTGACATTGTGTTTTCTTTTCTTGTACTCTTCGGATAAAAAAAAAAAAAAAAAGAAACAACCCCTCCCACCGGGCAGTTGCACCCCCGCCGTATTCACGGATGAGCCAAAGAAAAAAGTACCAAAAAAATAAATAAATCATTTACTCTTTGGATGTGAACGCAGCTGGATACAGAATCTAGTGCACTAATGACAGTATGCCCTCCCGCTGAATGTTACTTGTTCAGGAGCTGTATTCACGGCAGCAGCAAAAATAAGAATCCGCTCCTTGGACGTGAAAGCAGCCAGATACAGAATATAGAGTGCACAAGTGAGACTGTGCCCTAAGTTGTAGAGTGAGTTGTCAGCTATCCGTGTAATGAGCCTGGCCTCGTTGGCACGGCTCGAAAAGACGATGAAAAGAAAATGAAAAAAAACAAAAACAATCAATAATGAACGTAGCTAAGTTTCTGGGTAGATGCGAACGGTAAAGAGGAAAACCCTCCCCTCGTAGAATTGCCAGGCCTGATCTTGCAGAACCAAAACAAAATCTCAAAGTTGACATTGCTGTTGTTGTCATCGTATTCGTTGTTTGTTGTCGTTGTTCTCGTCGTCGTTGTAGTTGTTTTCGTCGTCGTCGTCGTCATCGTCGTTTTCTTCGTCCTCGTTGTAGTGGTGATGGTGGTGGTGGTGGCTTTTCTTGTCCTTATCCCAGCTGATGCTCCTTTCTTGTTTTCTTTATTTTGTTTTATTTTTTTTCTCCCTCTTGATGTCTCCTTCTCTGCTGCTGCTTGTGTTGTTGCTGTTGTTGCTCCTGAATGTTATCAGTTTAGATGGCTTATATTTTATTTTATCATTACCAGTTGTATACGTTTCATTCAGCTGCCGGGCAAGTGTAGAGCGTTGGAAGTTGGAACACATGGTGGAGGGACAGCGTTTTTTTTTTTTTTTTTTTTTTTTTTTTGAAGCCCTCTTTGCACAATGGCGTTATGGTTGGGACTCGACCCTATTGAGTTAGCCTATCGTCTTCACCCGAATAGAACGCCCGGTCATTATAGCTGTATTTGGCACAGAATTCAGTCCAGATGCTGCGATAATTACCGGGCGGCGGGCGTTCCATTTGGGTGAAGACGGTAGTTCGCAGGAGGGCCAGATGCTTGGCAGAAAAAGCCGGCAAACAGGACTTAACTTATGGCCTCCTCTGGCCTCTCACAACAAGGCCCAGAGTGAAAGCGCACTACTCCAGTGAAGGGACCGTGAGCCGAGTGCCCAATGCCAAACTAATGGGATGCTGGACTGGTAGGTGTGAATGCCCTGCGATCAGTGCAAGCATCATGGCAAAGCACAAGCAGAAAAAGATGTGTAGAACCAAAGCCTGGCAGAGAACCCTGACACAGAGAGACTGTGGCGATAGGATCTGCACAGCTAAATGGAAAGAGAGAATGTCGTATGTTATAACTATGATATGGTACTCTTTTTTAACTTTTGGGTGGTTGGTTGCTCGTCGTGAATATTGCTATTCTTTGTCGGACTCCGGGACTGTCTGGTCTTCGAGGGTCTTACCTCTGGGGTGGTTCCGCCTCTTCCTCCCTTCCTTTTTCCTCCTTGTCGGAAAACAGCATTCTGAGTACTATAGCGCCAAATCTGCAATCGCAGATAGTTTCACTCACAGCGAAGCAATCGTCATAGTTCTGAATGCTTAACACATGCTATTGTTTGTTTGTTTGTTTGTCTGTTTGTGTGTATGTGTCTGTGTGTGGGTGGGTGGGTGAACGTTGGCATCTGTTGGATGTGCCGGGTGTGCGTGTGTGTGCGCGCAGGAGGCGAGGAGGGCAGCTGCGAAGGCTGAAGCCTTGCCCACCAACCAGGACAGGGTGAGCAAGGCAGTCGCGGCTGCGAATCGGGCAGCTCTTGCCGCTAGAGTAGCTGCTGTCAAAGCAGCAGCACAGCGAGCTCGTATTGGTGGCTTAATGTGATCCGCCGACTGTTTGTGCACTTCTGCACCTATTCTTCTACTTTGTATAATCTGGAGAAACCTTTATGGGTTCTACATCAAACCCATTGCTATTTGCACGCTTTCCTTTTCTCCCTTTCTTACACCCCCATTCTCCCTCGCCTCTTTTTCTCTCTCCTCCTCCATGTTCATATGATGGTTGTCTCTCTTCTCCATCTCTCTCTCGTCTTCTGCTGTTCTTGCGCTCTTGGTCTCTCACCACACTTGTTTTGACACTGGAAACGCTTGTTCCGTGTCACACATACAGCCCTCCTGGTCTCCTTTTCGCTGTCGTTTGTGGTGCCACTCTGCCCAATTTTTTCGGCTGGTTGGTTTTCCCGTATGACCGCATCCAATGCCTTACTGCCACTTCATTGTGCACATGCTTTTTTGGTTGACCACCTGTATCTGGCTGTAGGCGTTGGCTACGTACACGTGGACAAATTATGGATTGTAACAGCTTGTGCGCTACATGTGATGTTTCCGTGTGGCATTCCCAGAAAATTTGGTGTTTAGCTGATGATGATGATGATGGTGACGATGATCAATGGACTGCGTATGCTGGGCTGCGTATGCAGCCAAGATATCCCCGATACAGTGACGTGATACCCCTTTTGTTTCAAGCGATTGAAAAAAGAAAGGACAAATGCCTATTGGTGTTTCCATTTCTCTTTCCATATTGGTATTTTTCCATTTCTCTCTTTCTAATAGGAGTAGGAAAAGGAAGATTTCAAGCCATAGCCACCTTCCCCCGGCCCCCCTCCCACCCCCCAAACTGTTTACCGTTGCATTTGAGGCAGGACTGCAGTAGTCCTAGCCAGGCTGCAAGCCCTGACCTGCAGGTTGCTATTGAGAAGAGAGCCCTGCAAAACCAGCTTGAGTGTTGTGCACTTGGTGCAAAGTTCTGCCCTGCACTTGACTGGCCACCCCTTCGATTGTACTGCTAGCCTTCTCCTTATCTATCAGAATCCACCCACGCCATGTGATTAACAGGCAGGCACAGGCATGTGTTTTAAGACTGCTAGCCTTCTCCTTATCTATCAGAATCCACACACGCGATGTGATTAACAGGCAGGCGCAGGCATGTGTTTTAAGATGTCAGTGCCTGCAGAAGTTTCGTGTTACTGATTGCCTCCCGTAGATCGACACCGTCCTTTGGAACTCGTGTCGTTAACATCGGCAGCAGCAGCAGATTGGAGACGCGCGCGCGTGCTTTTCGACTTGTCATTGCCGATGGTCGTTTCAATTCTCCCTCATGAACAACGAAAGACGTCGTCATCTGAGAGCAGCACATGATCAGCAACGCTTCGCTTTCCTGTTGAAGGCTATCAAAGCGCAGACGGTTCTCCGTGCGCTATCGCAACGTCGGTGAGCCCGGCAACGGTTCTGTCGTCGAGCAGGTGGTTCTCCGTGCGTGTTTGCACAGAGGGAGGCACAGAGGATTGCCTCCAAGGCGCCCCTTGTCATCATATGTTAATGGTTGTGACTTGCTGAAGGATGAACAGTGTCGAGCCTGTGCGGTGTCACAACGTTCGTAACCCGACACTATTTCTTCCGTCTAGCAGGTGGTTCTCCGGGCGTGTTTGTGCAGAGAGAGACACAGTACCGTCTCGAAAGCGCCTATTGTGATCGGTTAATGACTGTGCGCTGCCGAAGGATGAACGATGATGAGACCTGTGGAGTGTCACAGCGTTCATAAACCCGGCACCAGTTCTTCTGTTTAGCAGGTGGATGTTCGTACATGTTTGCACGGAGGCGTGGAGGATTATCTTGAATGGCCCCCATTGTCGTGTGTGAAGGGTTGTGCACTGCTGAAGGATGAACGGTTTCGACCTTTGTGTGGTATCACAACGTCCGAAAACCTGGCACGATTTCTTCCGTCTATGGCGTTGAGCAGGTGGATGTCCGTCCGTGTTTGCACAGAGACACACAAGATTGTTGCTAAGGCACCCTATGTCATCATAGGTTAGTGATTGTAGCTGCTGCTGCTGAAGAATGGACGATTTCGCGATCAGGAGGGGGGGAAGGGGGGGGGGGGGGGGGGGGGGGGGGGGCGGCTTTTTAGCGCTCTCTCTGGACACTACATCTCACCTACCTCCCAGAAGCTTATCGGCGTTTGGGTTTGTGTGTGTATTCTCGACAGTCGTGGAGTGCAAAACACTTGCCAGCCAGTCACTTGGAAGACCGTCTTTTAATTTCCTTCGTATCGACAGCCATGGGGTGATGCAGCTCTGTGTTCTGCGTCTGAACTTGGTGCGGGAACGAGTTAACCTGCCTGGACTCTTTCTTTACACCGCAAACTCGCTATTGACATGTGGATGTTCTTTTGTTGCGACGCCTGTGGTGAAGAGAGGTTTTCACTTGTTTCGCGTTCGATTAAACTTGATTTCACTCTTCCTTTCTGAACTCGATAGGATGGAAGATTTAACTTGCTTCCAGCAGTTGATTAAACTTGATTTCAACCTCGTCGTTCTCCGTCTTTGCAGACACGATGCGGTAGAGAGAAGCGTGGCGGTATCTGCTTCCGCGCTGACGTACCTGGTCATTCTCCAGTTTACCTACCCGCTTCGTCCAATTGGTCGGAATCAGCTCCTATAATTCTTCTGCAGAGCAATTGTGATCAGTACTAACATCCATCCTGAGAAATGACTAAGCCACAGTCATTCTTTCACAACATTGATCCTCTACCACAGTCATTCTTTCCCATAGTCGGTGCTATAGGGTGACACAGAGTATGCTGTTGCTTTTGATGGGTTTGCTATTGCTATTGCTATTGCTGTTGATGGGTTAAATCACCAGTACACCCATGCATTGGCCGCGGGCCCCTTTCGTAGGCCGCCAGTAATGCTTCATAGGCCGCCGTTGGAATTTATCAACGGCGGCCCTGCCCCGGACGGCACCGGCTTTTTCGGTGGTGGCGACGAGTTTCTTTCTGCAAGGCTGGGGCCAGTGGTACTGGTGGTTTAATCAGCCCATCTGTTGGGGGGGACAGTGTGCCGCCGCAGTCGATACAGTATTTTTCGTCGACAGAAATATGACCATGTTGGCATATTGCGGACCTCTTCGTACTCATTCAACGGCTACTGGTGCAGTCACTGCTTGCTTCATGTTTTCCATCTTCACCATGGGCCTCGCTTCACCATTGTCGACATGCACAAAAGGCAAAAATTGTGGCGGCTCTTTCTAAGTTCTAGCTCTGGCGTCGTTTCTTCTGCCTGTGGCTCTGGCGTCGTTTCTTCTGCCTGTGGCTCTGGCGTCGTTTCTTCTGCCTGTGGCTCTGGCGTCGTTTCTTCTGCCCCCCTCTCAGGTAAACTCCTGTCTTTGCCTCAATCTGGATCTGCCCGTCATGACCTGCCTCGTCTCCTATTTCAATTCGTCAATTTCCTCTGCTATCCTACTGGATCGAGGGCCTCGATCCACCACTCTCGACATGCACAAAAGACAAAAATCATGGAGGTGTATGGATCTTTCTGTGTTCTAAGGGAAGATTCACTCTCATTTTGCACATTTCGAGAGTAGTGGAGCCAGGCCCAGTGTTTTTTAGTGTTGTAGTACCCTCTGGGACCCCTACCCAGTGAATCGGATTTGTATTGTAACAAGGTATTACTCTCGGTGATGTATGTGTTGCTGCCGTCGACCGAAACGTGTCTCGTTGGGATATTGCAACAAGCGGACATCATCGATTGTCTGTTTGTGTTTGTGTTTGCGTTTGCGTCAGCTGCAGCAAGGGGGGTGTCTGTCCGCACCGCATGAGAACGTGAACGGCTCATGCAACAATTGATTGAGCGTCATGCAGATGCACTGTATAGTACCAAAAAAAATGCTTACGCAAATGTGATGATGGCCTCGGCTTGTGTGTGTAGTTGCTGAATGGATTAGTCAAACTTCGACGGTTTCGCAAACAGTGTTCACTTTTCCAGGTCAAGAAGACTCGAAGGATGAATCCTGCTTCAGGTTGATTGCTAGTATTCTAGTGTGTTCTTATTACCCGATACTAGTCTGCGATAGATGTAATGTTGGGGAGACTGGGGGAGTTTTATAGTTCGAGGAAGGGATGGACTTTTTCGATTGACAATCTCCCTCCGCGAGCTATACCTTCGTCACCCGAATAGAGCGCCCCACTGGTCATTTTTATATCTGTATTGGGGGCAACTTTCAGTCTACATGCAGTGATAATGACCAGGCGATCTATTCGGGTGAAGACGGCAGCAGGTTTATGCGGACGAGAGCAAGGTTAGAAGAAGAAGAAGCTGCCGTGGTTTATGCGGACGAGAGCACGGTTAGAAGAAGAAGAAGCTGCCGTCTTTACCCGAATAGAGCGCCCGTTCATTATCGCTGCATGTAGACTGAAAGTTGCCCCCAATACAGACATAAAAATGGATGGATGAGAGCAAGGTTAGAAGAAGAAGCAGTGTTTGTCACTCGACTGCGTGGAGAGAGAGGAGAAAAAGCCTTCAATGCAGGCAGTGCTTCGTAGAAGGGAGGCAAGTGCTTCGTAGAAGGGAGGCGAGTGTGTCATATGTCCCCTTCCATAAAAGGGAGACGCACTCGTGGAAAGATGGATGGACGCTTGTGGTCGCGCAGACGGATTCACAGTTTGCTAGTCGTTATGACGCGGCAGGCAGGACAGGAGTCGAGCTTAAGTTTTTTTCGTCTTCTAGCTGTCCGATGAACACGAGGATGACGACGTAATTTCTCCGAAGGTATGTTCATCGGGTAGGGCGCGATCATTCTATTGTGTTCGTAATCGGACGACCCTTGTCGACTGGAAAATCGCTGCCGCCGTGAGCCGTGCTGCTCGTCGTGTAAGCTGAAGTAAGGTGAGGAGGAGGAGGAGGAGGAGGAGGTAGGTTAGGTAAGATTAGGAGCGTGGATGTGGAGAAGCGATCCGGCCAGCAGGATGTGCAGAAGACTATGGAGAATGGATGGGAGCCGATGTTTCGACTCCGAACTGCTGACAATGAGGGCAGCGAGTTCTTGCACATAAAGTATAGCTTCTTTATGGAGGCGGGAGGAAGTTTAATCTCCCTAGCCGTCTTCGGGCGAAGAGAACACCTGGTCGGTATTGCTGCATCTGGACTGAAAGTTGCCCCAAATACAGTATAACAATCTGGCATTGTATTCTAGAGGCTGCTAGGCTGCCCTCAATTCTCTACGTAGGTTTCACATGGTTGGCCAAGGGAAGAAGGGGGACATATGATTGCTTGCCCCCAAAGGAAGGACACGGCTCGACGTCGACTGCTACAAGACGTGTGTTGGACTCGCGTGCAGCTTTTGGCTCTCGCGGCGTGGAGCGGGGGGGGAGGGGGAGGTAAGCGAAGGGTGCCTGAACAGACTGGCTAGATATAGTTCATCGACTGAAGCGAGATGAGCTGGAACCGCTGTGGATGGTTGACGTGGACACTGTCAGTCACAGAGGTATTGGAAGTGAGAAAGAAGGAACGAAACAATCACGTCGGAAATGCGCACAAGGTAGCAGTGCCAATCCTACCTGTTTTGTACTCTGCCTAAACAACGTACAAAAGGTATGTGAATCTTTCTGAACCTGTGCTTCTTGTCGTATGTCGCTGGACAGAGGTCTAATCTGAGATTATCAGACACAGTTATGCGTTTTTGAGTCTGTCGTCGACACACAGCACAAGGAGTTTGTTTACTTAATGTGCTGTGTGTCTAAGTTTGAAGCGGTGGCTGGTCCTGGGGTGCAACAGGCTGTAGCACGGCAATGGCACACTGCTCTTTCTGACTGGATTAGTGTTATGATTGCCACGAAGAAAGAAGAAAGATGTAAAGGTGCACAGCAGTGAAGGACTAGATGCAGAGATATCCGTACGAGGGGCAGGAGGGTCAACATGTGCTTCGTGTTGCGACCGAAATTTTTGTATCGCATCTGGAATCCTCTGGTGACATGGTTCTGTTTACGTGAGAGCTTGTACTCTACCATCTTCATCTGAAGAGAGAGAGAGAGAGAGAGAGAGAGAGAGAGATGGTGACTCTGAATACTGTGATAATGACCGTATGTTTTCTATTTGGGTCGAGAGGTTAGTGTTCACATGACAGGTCTATGTAGTGCTGTTGGCGCAGATTGTCTTGCACATTGCAACGACAGTGTGATCAACGAAGGCGTGCGTGTGAGGAGCGGGAAGGTAAGTATAGAGTGACACACGCACACCGACATGCGACATCCGTGCCGTGACAGGGAGGTTGCCGCGATGAATCGGATTGGAATTTTGGAATCGTTCATTCCTCCATTTTGATGTGGTTCCGCTTATATGAATGAGCTTATGCTACTAATAGTATACATGGGTCTAATGTTGTGCTGTTGGCGAAGATTGTCTTGCAAATTGCAGCAGACATTTTTCTGTGCCAAGCCACCCCCAATTTGCCGATTTCATGATATACAACTAAATGCGGCTTTCCTTTTTCAAGCTCTCCGAGAGGTCTAATGGTCATAGCAAAAATGATTGCGCCAGTGTTTGTTCGCTCGTTCTCAAGAATTGAGTGTCATGGAAGTGGTCTTGTCTGTAGAATAAGGGGGGGGGGGGGGGGGGGGGGGGCGGGGGGGGGGGGGGGGGGGGGGGGGGGGGGGGGGGGGGGGGGGGGGGGGGGGGGGGGGGGGGGGGGGGGGGGGGGGGGGGGGGGGTACAAGATTAGTTGTATGTGTATGTGTTCGGTCGGAGGGAGGAGAAGGTGTGTGTATCTCTGGCTGGAAGGTGGGGGGGGATGGTGTCTCTGTGTGTGTGTGTGTGTGTGTGTGTGTGTGTGTGTGCTACTATACCTGGGGTATATGTGCAGCAACCAACCACACACACTCAGACATTGAAACTTCTGAGGAAACTTCTGAGGAAACTTCTGAGGAAAGTTGGCAATCCATGAGCAAAAAATCAGTTAGTTGGGAAAAAGTTGGGAAAATTTACTCGTCGTCTCCAAGCGCGAACGAAGTCTTAGTGTAGAACGTGCGGCGATTGCTGCTTGTTTAGCGTCGTTAGCGATCCGTTGAGGTTTTGTTACGCAGTTTATATAAAGCACGCTGTATAGCAGATCTGCGTGGAACGGAACACGCGGCCGAAGGGGTTTGGGCGAACGACGGCCTACTTGGAAGCATCTGGTGTGTGCGTGAAAGTGACGATACGCTTTGGAAAAGTGTTGTCGACGGCGCTATACACTCTTTGCGAAGGATGCGGCGGAAGCGGAGTTTGCCATAATTTGACGAAAACGTCAGGACAAGATCAGACGCTTGGGTAAACATGGTCGAGAGCCAGTTCCGTGAGGATAGAAAGGGTGGAGGCGAGATGACGAAACTCCGCGTGAAATGAAACATGATGGCAGACCGTAGTTGCCCAAAGATGGAGGCTTGCCGTTTGTTGCGATCCGACTCCCAACTTCGCGTGTCCGTAAGTTGGGGAGCAGGCTGTTTTCCATCTATCATGAGATGGAGAGGATTCAGGGAAGTGGAGCGCAGAGTTTTTTTTTTTTTTTTTTTCCTGATCTGCTTGTGGACAGGTAGATAGGTAGAGGAGATCACAGAGAGAGGAAAGAAAGGAGAGTTTGTTTTCATGTTGATACTATGGCCAGAGCGCACAGTGTGGAGGTCATTGAGAGGCAGAGGCAAGGATGGAGTTTGTTCCAGGAATATCATCAGATGGTGTGAGAAGGCAGGGGGGATAGAGTTTGTTCCTGATCTATATAAGGTTGGGCAAGAACTCAGGCACAGAGTTTGTTGTTCCTGGTTTATACGATGGGGCTAGAACACTGGCGTGGAGTTTGTTCCTGGGCTGTGAGACGGGAGACTAGAACACGGACACGGAGTTTGTTCCTGGTTTATAAGACGGGGCTCGAACTCTTTGCGGTCTTCATTGCACAGTTGCGGCACCCTTTTGGTTATCAGACGTCATCGAAGTTGAGTATCAGGCAGGGAAACAGGTGGGACTGTTGATTTTGTGTTGGTCATTATTAAATGATGATTAAAGCAAGTTTTTCGTCTTTGCAGGTCGTATCTTGGATGAACCTTTTATTTCTTCCGGATCGGATGCCTGTTTTTTTTTAATCCATACAACAAAAAAAGGTTGTTCATATCTGGTCCCTTCCCCCCCCCCCCCCCCCCCCCCCCCCAACACGCACACACACACACAAAAAAAATAAAAAAAATAAAAAAAATAAATAAATTACAGGTGAGTATGGAGATCCGTTTTTCGTTGTTTTTTGTTGGAGGTCTAGTGGCGTGGTTTGTCCATTGTTTGCCCTTTTTTCCAATGGGAAGAGGGGAGAAGGCGTGGTTGCCCAATGAGGAAAGAAGAGCGGAAATGAGAAGAAGGGGGTGTGGGAGGGGCTCTGTGTTGTTTTTGGATACGATGATGGGGATGGCCGCGCTCCGTCTTTCTTTCTTTGTTCCCCCTTTTTTTTTCAAGATCTGACTTTTTTTTTTCCCAAGCAGAGCATCGGCTATGGTAGCTAGCTGAGGAAAATTCGGTGGGTGGGGAATATGACGAGTGGCACAAGAGAGAGAGAGAGAGAGAGAGAGAGAGAGAGAGAGAGAGAGAGAGCTGGCACGAACATAGCAGGAGGAAAGGCAAGCCCTTTTGGGCGACGGCACGTTCGAGAGAAGATTGGTCGCGGCAGCACCGAACCGATGGGTGCCATGGAGGACTTGCTCACGATCTTCTCGACGGGAAAGAATTCTTCGTTATCAGTTTTCTCTTCTCACCACGGCTGCTGCTATCGACATGTGTGACCGTGACTGACAATTGTTTGTTTGGTGCGCAGTCCTTCATTGATTCGTTCCTTCATTCCTTCGTCTTCCCCCCCCCCCCCCCCCCCCAAAAAAAAAAAAAAGCACACATGTACCTAAACGCGCTTGCTTGATTTGTGCTTTCGAAGCTTTTGCTTCTGCTATAATGATGCGTGGAAGCAATCTGGTATTTAGGATGGACGACGTTTGCGTCACTTGTCACTTGTTTATTCATGAAACGCCAATTGGGCTAGGGAAAAGGAGGGAGCGAGGGAGGGAGGGTGGTTTGTGGGGTTCATGTGGACGGCTAGCTGTCAGTGTACGCAGGTTTTGCACACTCGAGCTAGAGTGCTTTCAGTAGCAATTGTGGAAGAGGGCAATTTGGCAATTTGGCAAATATTCGTTGCAACGTTTTTTGCGATGGGGCAGTGGCTGCTACTGTTTGCTAGGCACAACTCCACAAAAAAAGCTCGATCGTTTTGTCAGACTTTCACCGACTCATCAGTCATGTGCGCGCGTGTGTGTGTGTGTGTGTGTGTGTGTGTGTGTGTGCTGTCTCTTATACACATCTAGATGTGTATAAGAGACAGGGTTGGCGGAGGCCCGGTCGAGTCACGTGCC